AACAAAGAGAGGGTAGGCTATTAAGCTTCTAAATTAAGCCCTCTGGAGATATTAGTAGAAAGAAAACCATGAACTTTTGAAAGCAATCTCATTGTCTTTAAAAGAAGGCATTAATTGTACTTTTTTGTGTTATTGTTGCTATATGGTCTTTCAGGATTGTCTTTCTTCTTATCAGTATTATTGCCATTCTTCAACCCATACACAGAAGTGTAGCCAGAAATTTTTGCAGTCTTGGCTCCAAATGAGCAAGTGATTGTTGTTCACAAAGCTGGCCTGCACGCAGATACATCTTCCACCTTGGGGATACCTGAATATAAAGAATTTCTGACATGCTAAATTGCAAGAACTGTCTTTTTTTTCATGTCACAAGTTTATGACCATACCATAGCTTTGCTGGTCAATGTTAGGATGATTTTATAACCTTAATCTTCAATGAAGAAAACTATTTCCATAAATCACCTGTCTGACAACAAGAATGTTTTGTCTCAACAGTATAATTTATACAGAATCCTGATCTGAAATGCCCTAAGAATTAGATTTATAGGCTATGAGGATGAAGCCTCCTAACCATCTGACCTTTGGCACTTTCTACCAGGCATCATACAGTATCAAGGGCTGCGGTAGAAAGGAGTATTTTGTTACTGCTTTTAATAAATAGTATTTTGCCCAAACTTCCGGCCCACAAATATTTCAACTTATCTTCTTTTCAAAGCAATGGGGAGTTCCACTAAAAAGAGAATAACTTAATAAAATGCACAGTTTCAAATGCTGAATGACATCAGACAGAACTTTTCTATCCATTTCTTCCAATCTCCCAAATAATGGTGATTTATTTACAAGGGTCACTAGATGCAAACCATGGTTGTCCCTTATCAGTCTACAGCTGGGTTAACCAGGCTTTGAAAAACAAAGACATCCTCCTCCCCCTTAAAAATTTTAAACATATCTGCTCTCAATTATTTGAATATTGCTATGGAAATGAAAAATATTTGTTTTCCCATCAGAACATGTCACTTTTTATTTGATAGATTTTTTTTACACCTGTATTCCTAATGTAGTGTGAAATTAAAATGAACATTCATGTTTTCTTTGGGAGATCAACATTACAGCTGATGATATAGAAATGAGCTTATGAATGGGGCTTTTTCTTGATTGTTTTAGCCATTAAGTAATAATTTATTGTGATTATTATTATTAAGAATTTACTTAGGTGTGATATTGGCAACAGATATTTCTACCTTTTTGTTGGGTAATAGGATTTTGACAAGTAATTAAAAACTACAGATTATTCTTCATCATTATTATTATATTATGACAAATTACATTTAGCCTTATGTGGCTGAAATCTCCCTTTGGAGTTTTCCATGTCCTGTTGAAAAGCAATAGTGATAAATCTCAGAGATTTAAGGAAGAATCTTTGCTTAAGTACAGCAATGTGATGCATCTTGTAGTAATGTCTGTTCAATGTGTCCAATCAGTTAGGTTCAGCTCCTCAAGAGATTTTAGACAGTAAGTAGACCTGACTAAACTGAGGAGGATGCACTTCTTAGTCCTTCGTGTTCCTGGCTTCAAACATTAGAAAAGACGGCAGACTAAAAATTCCTTGTTCAAGACACTTGCCTAATTTTCCTGTTTGTTTGCTGTAGAAACAAGTGGAGGTGCAAATTCTTAAAAGGCTTTTCATTGTCTTAGTGTGCATGCTCCTTGTTAATTGACATACCCAAGGGGTGATGTCAGTAATGATATTAAAGGAAGCATCACGCAATGTGCAGTAGCTGTTTTCCTACTATGTTTCTGGCAAAGGATGACATGCAAAGATTCATTTTATTTGTACTGACTGTTGGTTGTTTTCAGTTTAAAGGAAAGCATTGCAATTCCTGTTAGTATATTTTTTTCTTGGTTTTGTATTTCCCCGCAGGTGTATTAATAAGTAAGTAATAAGTAAGTTACAGTGACACTTTACTGGAGATGACAGGGTTTCTTGCAACACGAACCAGCAGACAAGCACATTTAATTGAAGCAGTTTGTTCCACCTCTGTGTTAAAGAAACAACCTACTGAAATACAAGTAGGTGTTTTAGAAGGTAGCATCCTCCTTTCTCCTGCCTTTCAGAATGGAGTTTCAATAATCTATTGGTGGTTTTTGACTTAGGTTTTAGTTCTAATTTGTGGAAAATCTTGACATTTTAAAGTAGATCCAATCTGCTTATTCTCTGCCCAGGAATGTGCAGATTTATAGACTGGCCTTAATGCCTAGAGAGATTTAGTTTCCAAGTATGCAAGCGAGAATAAGCCAAATGAAAGGAACGCCTACAGGAATTTCAAAAGTGGCCAAAGGACATTTAGAGTTATGTTAGGCTATCTGAGGGAGGTTTATCATCCCAACTGTAAAGAAAAGACATTAAGAGGGGTAAAATATTCTGTTGTGTTGTCTGCAGTTTGGTCCGATGTCCACTGCTTGCCTAGAATTAGATGATGTGGCTTATGACAGTCTCCCCCCAGACTAAATATAACAGCTTTCTTTTCACTGGGGTGACTTGTTCTTTCAGTATAGTCCTTCAGGCAGTCCTAAGACAGCAATATGTATGTGGTATTCTCTCATGTATATCCTTACACAAATGGGAAACATTTGGGAGTGATGATCCATTCTCTATAGCACTCTCTCTTACAAAGCCTAGAGGCCTTTAAGCAAAGATTAGAACCATCAGAGCATCTTCCACTGGACCATGTCTAACATCCTTTTCTGCATAGGAAAGCTGTGTTCTAAGCTCATCACTGTGAGGTAAGCTCAAAACTAGTTTAAGGAAAAGTGGTGAGATCCTTTGGCTCAGATGTTAAAAAGGTTATTGTTTTAAGAAAATGCACACGTTACTACTATGTCCTGGAACAGTGTTAAAAGTTTTTGCACATTATCAAGGAAATCGGATGTTTTTTCCAAAGGCACGCTCAATTTGATGGAGCAGTGATGAATATTCTTTTTGCTATTTTCTGTTTGTTTTGTGGGTTTTTGTTTGTTGGTTTTTTATTGCTTTTTTTGTTTGTTTTGTTTTGTTTTGTTTTTTCCTATTTTACCATCTTTTAGCCAAGAGGGAAACTTCTGGACCATCAGTTACACTCACACACACTTCCACTTTCTAACTGTTTCTTGTGTTATCTTTATCTTTTGTCATGGAAACACATGTTAAATATTTATGCCATCTGGACACACAGAGTGTATGCTTTTCTGCTTCCACCCAGTACTGAAATGAAGGGGTTATGATCCCCAGAGTCAAAGCTGCATTTATGTCTTTTCCTAGGCAGCATATCTAGCGACAGCAGCTAGTGTTTTCTTGAAGATGAGCAAAGGAGGATGGAGAGAGGGTGAAGGAAAGCACTTGCTAGTGTCTGAATTGCTATTCAGTGCTCTGAAATGGCTTTCTCCATTGTTTTCAGTCTCTGAGGAAGTAGTTCTCTTGAGGGTGATTTTAGAAAACCTGTTCACTTTTCTGCTTTGACAGCATAGCTGTGTCTTGGAGCCATGGATGATGCACTCAAGTTTTGTTTTCACCCCATCTAGACCTGATGTGAGTCACTGTGGTGGGAATCAACTCTGCAAGAGTCACTTTTATTATTAACATTTGCATTGCTTGCCTTTGGGACCCTCCCTATGTGTAATACAGACATTACTAAAGGGTGGCCCCTGCCCCAGGTATACTACAAAGCAGATGTAAGCTTTAACACAGGCCATCTGCAATGGAGAGGATGGTTTTCGAGAAGTGAACTCTGTTCTGATGGAACCACTCCTGTGGAAATGTGTATAAAGTCATTTTTGGGTTTTGTGCTTTTAAACTTTAAAATTTTCTCCCCCAAAACCCCAGCTTGACTGTTGTTCCATTTTGCAGTGTTCAAGCTCTAATGTGGATGGGTCCTAATGTTATGCCTCTCTGTCACTGTATGAAGAATTTGTTTAGATGTAGCTCAGTCTGTTCAAAGCAGGCCTACGTAAACCCAGATTTATGGAGATCCTGTTGAAAAAATGCCCTCAGGGGAAAAATGCCCTTAGGGCCTTTTTTGAAACTGGTGACTTTCTTTTGAACTTCTTACCAACTTCTGCTAGGAAAAATATTAAATGCGAAGTTCTTAAGCAATTTGCTTTAGCCCCTAGGCACAAACTAGTTCCCTGTGGAAAGGGTGGGGAAGCAAGTGAAGCCTTTATCACCTTTAACTCTCCTCATATCTCTCTATGTTAAAGCAGGCAGATGGAAACTAATTTCAGCTAACTGCATCGTAACATTTCCCAAATATGTATATTTAATGGAATGGTTTCTCTTAAGAAAACACTGATCTGAGAAATTAAATCCATGTAGCTTGAGCACGAAGCAAACCAGTCTAGCAGACTGGATTTCAAACAGTCTAAGGATGTTTTGTTACAGAGTTCATTTCCCAAGCTACTGTGACAAGCAGTTGCTAATTCTAAAAATATTCTCTAAGAGTGGGCTAATTTATGCATCACTGAAGCACTGGTCCTTTTTGCTTTGCATTTGCAAGGAAAGAGGATATGCAGTCTTTATTATTTGTTAAAAAGAAACTGACAGCTACATTTCTGAACTGAGAGTGATTTTGTTCATATCTACCAGTACCCTGTAGAAGGCATTTTAAAAGGTGCCACTGCTGTGTACTTATGGTTTATTTGCCTTTACTACCTCTCTAGGATTTTTTTTCCCCAGTTTTTTTAATGAGCTCCACCAGCCAGGTTTAATGTTTCCTTTCATATCCAGCCTTTTGGATGATTATGCAGGATTCATGATATCACATCAGCAGAAGCTGCTGTAGATTGATGGGACCCCATCAACCACCCTGCCCACTCAATATTATAAAAATTTATGTCGTCAGTGGTCATGACGTTGGGTAGGAAGTTGCCCATTTATGGATACTAGAGCAAATGATATCATCACAATAGGTGGCTCCTGTCTAAATAGGATCATTTGTGAAATGAGATTACAGGCATTTATCTGGGAAACAGGAGACAGAGGCACCTGCTTTACGTAATTGATATCCTGGGGAATTATTGTGTACAATAATCAAGAAAAATCTTCATTTCTAATTCTATTATGTTGGAAAAAAAAAACCCTTTTTTCTGCCTGCCTAAAACAAACCCCACTTCCACATGGAATAAGCTCCAGACCATGTTTTCTATTATGCTTGAATATATGGGACATGCATTGCAATCCTATGCTTGCCACACTGCTGCAGTATACTTGTTTTGCAGAGCTCTGTAGCAGGCTAGTCAAAGCTGTGACTAACCAGACCCTTGGATACATACTCTGATCTCTGGCCTTTATTTTTACAATGAATTTGATTTGTTCATTGATCACATATTTTTTCTGATTTGTGCGAAGCTTCATACTCTGTGTCTGGATGCTGACTGCAATACAGCAATAGTCTTTGATACGGTAAGTCAAAGATGACTCATTTCTTACTCTTGTGCCTTCAATTTTTACTTTCTACAACACCATCTCATCAGGTAGAAAATTATGTGTTAATTAATGTTGAAGTAGTTAATTTTCAACAGATGCTCTTCCCTTCCCTCCCCCCAGTACTTTGCACCATGTTATTTTTCCTCCTCGTGAAAGCAATAGGTTTCAACTGTCTTTAATTAAAATGCTTTTGCTCTATTATTTTTAATAATATTGCTGAGATTTTTTCCTAGTCTTTAATTGCAACAATAAAAAAAAGAATAGATCATACACACAGATTTGGAACTTAACGTGATGCTAGAATACGACAAGTTCAGTTCAATATTAACCTTTATTACAGTGAACACAATTGGAAACGCAAGAATCTTTTCGGGGATTTATACTTTGGATAAAGTATAAGGATTTCAGTTTTCATTTGAGTATTAATACAGTCAGATACATCCAGTTGCAAGAGCCTTTATTTTATGTGAAAGCAGTGGAGAGAAAATGCCTTGCAATAAGACAGTTTTCTTTGTAATGCAGTGTGCAGGAGATTCAGTAGTACTCCTTATCAAGTGCACTACATGAGATAAGAACAGAAAACGCCACATATTTGCTGCACAGTGGTAGGAGCCTTTACATTATAGAAATGTTGCTAACAAAAATGCTATCGAAAGGAAATAATTCTTTACAGAGCTTTAAAATAGTGTTGTGATCACACACATAGTATGCACTCTTTCGGATAGCTAGCATGAATTTTACAATAAGGGTTAAGATATGATATAAGAATTACTTGGAGAAACCTATCTTTAAGCAGAGGTCTGGAGGATCACTAGGTTACTGGGTTTTCCTTAGTGAGATTCATTCAATCCTGGCTTTAGAATCAGCAACTTTGCAGCAAGTGGACAATGTTCAGATTGCTTGAAATGTTTTGGTATGGGGAGTATTCTCTGCATGCATTTTTTATTTCCTCCCATATCTTAAACTTTTCTGCAGTAGAGGTTTGGGTTTTTTTTCCACCTTGAGTGCCAGTCCTTCTAGTTTTTGGTATACCTATCAAATAAATGGGTAAATTTGTATTTGCCAGTAAAGGTTTTTGATGTTCAGGTAAAATAGCTCACGCTTTAAAAGTTTATGCAGGAACAAAGCCAAAAAGGAAGAAAAGTGCAGTCTGTATGAGATCAGAACAAAGGTACAGCCTAGCTGTTATCAATTCACAAGTTGTAATTACTGTTGCTTTTTCACTTCTGTGGAGAAGTTTGAAGGTTTGATTTCTGTAGTACCAGTGTGATTATTTTACAGGCATGCATTAGTATCAGCTCTTGCTTTTGCTCATTATTAGTTAATGGATCCATATCTGTCGTGTTTCCTTGTCATTTGAGACAGCCTGCATCCTTCTTATTTAGCAACAAGTGATCAACATGATCATATAGTGCCCAGTGCAGTACATTTTAAAATGTATATTCTGAAATGTGAAAACAGTTATTGCATATTTACTAGGTGTTTAAAATCTCTGTGTTCAGCAAAGCTGGTGACTGCTGGCATCCTTTTTTGAATGAAACATGATATTTTAAAATGCTAGAAGGCAGGTGAAGGTACTTCAGCACATGGACCTATTAAACAGCAGCACTCTGCCTGACATTACACTTTGCTTTAGCAAAACCCCCACAGAATAAAAGCTATTTGGTTCTAATAGCTACATAATTTGATCTGTTTAATATGGTTCATGGAAGTTATTTCACTGTAAATGCCTCTTAAAGTGATCTGGAAAAAATAAGGTATTTCCACAGATTTCATTTATGCATGTTACACGAAAGCTGAAGCAAAGTGCCATAAACTGAACGTAGAGGCCAAATTACATGCTCTGTAATACAGGCACAGAACTGTTATGAAGATTAGCTGATCAAATTTCAAATATTGAGCAGTTTGCAGGGTTCATCTTTTAGAGAATAAATAGAAAGAAATGATTGTGTAGTCACTGGTTTTTGTAGTCCTCCTACTGATTTGGAATTTTATTTTAAAACACATTGCACTAATAATTTTCTGCCAGATTTGAATCTCTCATAATTTCCTACACAAGGAAAGCAGGTTTGGCAGCAGCTTTTCAGAAATAATAAAATAATTTTAATTAATAGGAATAACTGGAGTAATAAGCATGCCGAAGGGCATAGAACTGAAAGTATTCCATACATTAAGCACAAAACAGTATATACAGTTCTTAAATGAATTAAACCGATATAGAGAAGGAGAGATGCCCATAACATAGATAATACAGTGTTTCACTTTTGCTTTATTTCATAAGTTTTTAAATTATGCAGGAGTCATACAACTCTATGACATAGATTACGTCATATTAGTTATGATCCATAAATTTTCCTATTATTTGTTGGATTCCATTACTGCCAATATGTTAGAAATCTTAGCTATATTTTTCTGAATAACTTTTTGATCTATATGCTTGGAATTTTTTTTTTCTTAGCTACTTAATTTTACGTTCTTAACTTTGTCATTGCAATGAGTTATATAGTTTATAATTCAGTTCTGGTTTCAAGGAGAAAGGCTTGAATTTCAGCTGGAGTACATCAGTAAAAATCACAAAGAACTGGACTTCTGTACATTCAAGTTTCACAAGTGTAGTATAAATGAGAGCCGATAGATGTCTTTGATGTGAATATAAAGGGAGCTCAGTGTGCACACAAAGGAAAGAACATGGGATCCACATTTTTATATTTTCTAGTTGCTATCAAAAATACAATCCTAACAAATTGTTCTACAGCAGTAAGGAAAATGAGCTGGATTTTTACAGTAATTTAAAAATGAAGTTCTGTTCATTGATAAGAGCTTAGTATATCACAGGGTCTATGAGTGCTAGCTTCATTTTCTTTGAATACCATAGACAATACATATTTTCTTTTTATATATACTTCAGAAATTCTGCCCAAGGTCAGTGCAAAGGGCAGGGCAAAACCACACATCCTTGACTGGAGACCCCATGGCTAAATGCAATAGAATTGCTTTTAGTTTCTCATTGTGTAATATAAAATATTCATATCTGCGACAATGAAAGATTTGCATGGTTTGGTCCAATACAAATTATATCTGTCACATAATTGAATTTTCTTTGAGAGATGCGCTTGAAGAAATATATTAAAGCCTGAAAATTACACAGGACAGGGTGAATGCCAGCAAAGCATACAGAACACAGCAAAATAGTTCAGCTTAGCAAGCTATTAATTCCACTTAGCAGTACATTACCAAGGTACAAATAGGGTAACAAGTCTGTTACTGTCTGACAACCCTCACAGTAGAGCATTTAGTGATATATAGAGAAAACCACATAGTAGTTCATAGATTTGTTTTACTGAAGGAAAGTGGAACTTCATCATAGTCACCATTAACATCTTAAGAGAAATAGTGTTCAATTAATACATGTTTCTGCAGTGTTTGTGGTAGCAGTCATTACTTGCAGTATCAAAAATCACAGATTTAAAGGTGACCATTGCCCATCAAAAGAAAATGAGAAAGATCCCAAGCAGAAAACCACTTAAGGATCATGCATTTCCATGCAATTTCTGAGAAAGGCATTCTTGGTTATCAGGTTCAAGTTTTAGCTGATCTGTATAGTAATGTATTGTGAAAACAGACATATATTGTCTGTCCTAGCAGCTCTTACCACTCTGTCTTTTGACACGAGAGCAACAACATCCTTTATATATTTCAGTTCATTTTCTAGGTGACTTGCCATCATCAAATCCTTGGTATCTAGGGCTTGAGCATGCTTCTGCTGAAGCTGATGGCAAAACACTTACTGGCTTATCTGGGATCATGTTAAGGGCAACCCACCATTTAGTAATAGAGGCCAGAAAACAGGAGGCTGCTTTCTCACTTGTCATATCCAGGTACAGTTTTCTGTGGGCAGAAATCTCACAGCAGTTCACAAAAAGGAAGAGCTCTTCCAGACCTCGTGTGCTTCACCCACGGAGAGAGGAGGGGCAAGGCCAGGCCAGACACATCAAGATAAATGCTCCTGTTACATAGTGCATGTGATGGCGTAGCTGGGGAGCGTGTGGCTTAGGGCAGCCAGCACTCCTCAGGCTGCCCAGCTGGGAGCAGCATGCCTCTCTGTAGCATCGCACCCCTGCTGCCAGAACTCTGGTGGAGTCCTGTGCTTTGAATGGAGGATCAAACAGGAATACAGGTGTTGATGACCAGATGTTAAGTCAGCATACAGCCACGGTAACTCCTGTGCCGTGGCTTCTCCTTTACATGATGACAAGGAAACCCAAACGGAAGTAGTTCATCTCTTGTAGAAATTTTGTGGCAGGGTTGGAGGGGCAATGAGCTTGGCATTGCTTTGAGGAGTGGGTCCCATTCAGTGTTCTTGGTTTTGAGGGAATTGGGCTTTTCCTAGGAGATTCTTGTTCTTAGAAAGCTCTTCTTTGTGCTGTCTCTCTCCTTTTAGAGACAAGGCCAGGTTTAAGCACCTCCAAGCCTCACATACCTAACTATTCACAAAGGCTGCATGGCTAGGAGAACACACAGAATTCAGGGATTATTCTATACATTTCTCCAGAGGTGGTTTTTAATCCACATTTTCTTCATTTATTTTTAGTCCTATAAATTTGATCAATGGCTTTTTAAGTGGGGTACTGTCATCTGAGCAATCCTTGCATCTAATTTATTTTCCTTCCCCCTGCACAACTGCTGATACAAGTAATAAGCAAGAACTAAAAGAAATTAAAGGCATATTTTTTCTGTTCATGTGGTGTGTTTGACGGCATTTTGTATCTATCCTGCCTCACTGCTCCCTCAGTGCAATCATTTGGCTTCTTCCCATTTGTGCAGGCACAGTAGCAGCTGAAAGGAGACAGCATCTCAAACCAAGAGGAATAATACTGTAATGTCATAAAGATTGGCAGGTTAAATAGCTGAATCTCACAGAGAGTTTTGGTTTTATTGATTAAATGGAGTCATCATATTTTTCTCATAAATATGTA